TGTGGCCCATTTTGGACTCCCAACTCCCATCAGCCCTAGCCAGCATAGCCAATTGTTATGAATGATGGGAGTTGTAGTTGAGCAACATTTCTCTACCCCTGCTGTAAAGACTACTGGCTTTAGTCAATAAGGGAATCTCTTCTTTGTTGGGTTGAATCTAAAGCTTCCCTGAACAGAGCTCCTGTCACGGAAAGAGTGTTCTAAGAGACCACTAATGGGAGCCAACAATTTTTGTTGGTTGACACCCCCCCCCCCCGCCCCCAGTTCCACAAATCTGCTCTGAAGAGGTTGGAGACACTCCCACAACAGTGTGAGAGGTGTTGCATGGTGCTTCAGAGGACATGTGAAATTGGAAAAAAACAACCCACCTCTTCCCTGCCTCCTTTCCAAGTAGAATTCACCATTGGATCAAAAGCACTTCTGTTCATGGACAGACTCTCAAGCAAGAGCCACTTTTGGATTCAGTCCATTTAAAAAATGTTTTAGAATAGGTACTGCAGTGTGATTTGCATAGAAAATTATATTCTGAAACAAGTGAGCAAAATCATGCACTCCTAGCAGATGTTGGTTTATTAGGCATACATTTAACATTTACATATTTCATATATGTTGCTTTTATCTGTTTGTTTTTCTTGTAGATTTTATCTGAGTTATCTGAAAAGGAAGGCATTACTAAGGAGCAGGAAAAAGAAGAAGAGCCAACCAGGATCTCAGAATATTTCTTTGGGGATATTTTTATGGAGGTGGATGATTCAGAATAACTGAGGAGCTTATCAAATGCCTGGCACCCAAGAATGCACTGTAGCAGTAATGTAATTGACTAGTCACAAGTTTTCAGTTGGCCCTTACATTTAATGCAGAATTATTTTCCTTTTACTATGAATAATCTATCATTTGGAAACACTGAAGAAAACACAACTCTCTTAAGTTCCAAGATACTCACAAGAACAGCACCAGATCTGTGTTTTATTTTGGTACAAGTAGTTTCTAGATGCATGGCTACACTTGAGAAATGCCATGAAGAATGAGCAGACACCATCTAAATATAATGCTCATGTTTGTGGGGGCTGTAAATTATCTTTACTTCTTTTTGTGAAGTAAATGTTTATGGGATGTGGATCATAAAATAAGCCAAGTTCTGATTTTAGTCATCTTATTAATGTTATTATTTTATAACAAATGCCTATGTGAATTTGTTCAAAAATGTAATGTTTAATTTCTTTTCAATGTACAGAGATAAACATGAAAAAATATTTATTTAAGTTGAATGTATAGAAATTTTAACTATGCCAAGTTAGTTCTGTCTGTCCTGGAGATAAAAGAGGAATTTAATATTACTCTACTTCTAAGCACTAAATTTTAAATGGAAAAGCTAAAAACAATGAAAAGCATAAAACGACCCATCAAACACCCACTGACAAGGAGAAATTGGGTGTTCAAGAATAAAATCAGCCCCAATATATAAAAGGATAATATATCATGATTATTACTGGTTCCCTCCCCCACTTTTGTTACCTGTTTAGACTTTTGACTTCTGTCCTTCCCTGTTCTGTCCTTCGCCTTGGTTGGCGATGATATTGCTACAAGGCACAACTTCCATGTGACATTTTTGGGGAAACCTGTCTAAATCAGTTGTGCTCATTCTGAGAAAGGTGTCCTGTTTTCTCTGCATTTTTCTTGAACCTAGTGATTTGGATACCAAATATTGCTCATCTCCTTTACTACAATTAGCAATTGAATATAACTTTTTTATTTATTCTACATTTCCGCATAAATATTAATATTTGCAAATATTTGGAAGTAGTTGTTCTCACTTGCAATTGTCCAACTAAGCATACAATTTTGCAGCTGCTTCTCTTTCCCAAATCATCTGTTTGTGACCATATATCATCCCAAAACAAAATTACTGATGTTATTAAATTAGATAACAGAAGCATTACAGACTCCTCACTTTTTCTAAAAGCGTATCATATAGTTATCAGTAGCAAATCAGTGGATGTCCACTAAGTGTGTCAGTTCTCTACCAGAACAAACACTGTCCAAATGCTATCCAAATCTGCTCGAGTGGGTTGGACTATCCTCTGGAGCAGATTTGGCCAGGTGAAGTTGAAAAGTAAAGAAGGGAAACTCAATTGCACAAGTAAAAGTCCATTCGCAAGACTGCACGTTGCCCAATATTTTAATTTTCAAGCTAACAAGTCTATATTTTCCTGCTGGTTTGAGCATTTGAACTTTGTTTCAATTCTGTCATATCTGAAGCCCTAAATAGAACAAAAAAAGAGCGCCAAATAAATGTGAATAATTTACCAAATGTAAATTTAGATCAACAGACTCAGAGAAAGTGGAATCTGTTCCAGTATGCTGTTACTTCATGTTAATCACATGGAGGAGATATAATGTACTCTCAAATTATGTACACTCAAGAGGCTGCTGAAATAATGAAATACGTTTTTATGTAATTTGCTGGAATTGCTTTAAATTACAAAGCAAAACTAATTGTTTTTTAGAAATCACATAAAAAGCTCAGCTAGAAGGTGCCTTATCTTTCCTTGCTAAATGGAAAGAACAATCGATCCTATTAGCTTTCACTGTAAACCATGTTTTCTTGGTTATCCCTTTTAAACGTCTTTAAAACATGCATATTTCTTTCGTGAGTATTGTATATATTTAATGACAGAAGGGAACTAAATATGCTGGGTTCAGAAACAGAACATTTCATTTGCATAAAAATATGATAAGGGGTTGCTGTCCTGGAAAGTGTGACACACTTTTTTTCTCTCAACTGTGTGTAATGTTCCCTGTGGAAGCTTTCTATTTCAAAGAAAGCGCTAGTAGCGCTTGTGTTATATATGTAAATTATGTGAATAAATAATTTTGTACCACTGAACTTGTTAAGTCTTTCTTTAAAGGCTGGTGATTTAGGGTGCAGTAAATGGTACTGCCAACCTAGCAATTAGAAAGCACATCAAAGTGCAAGTAGATAAATAGGTAGCGCCCTGCTGGGAAGGTAAACGGCATTTCCATGCACTGCTCTGGTTTCGCCAGAAGAGGCTTAATCATGCTGGCCACATGACCCGAGAAAACTGTCTGCAGACAAACATTGGCCCGGAAGCTGTACCTCGGCCAGCAAAGTGAGATGAGCACCGCAACCCCAGAGTTGTTCGCTTTCCTTTACCTTTACCTTTTTAAAATGGTACTAGAACCCCTGAATATGAGCAAGTGTGGATCAGATCAGTGCCTGTCTGTAGAGATAGCGAGATAATTAAAAGATTTGCCCTAATTGTTTTTGTTTAGAACTAGTTTGTTTTTCTGCAAAATTGCAAGTGATCTAGCTTTAACAAATTGTATGTCTAAGAGAACTAGCTGTGTCTACAGATTATTATCCCTGTTAAGACAGTGAGTTTTTGAGACTAGTCAAGAGCAGATGAAGTGTCTCTCAGCCAGCAGCAACAAGATAATACTGACAGCAAGTTCTGTTTGCCATGTGTAATAACAACAGTAGGCTCTGTGATGATTGTGGACAGTGTTCTGTACCTACTGCTCTGTTGTTTAGTCATGTCTGACTCTTCGTGACCCCATGGACCAGAGCACGCCAGGCACTCCTGTCTTCCACTGCCTCCCGCAGTTTGGTCAAACTCATGCTGGTAGCTTCGAGAACACTGTCCAACCAACTCGTCCTCTGTCGTCCCCTTCTCCTTGTGCCATCCATCTTTCCCAACATCAGGGTCTTTTCCAGGGAGTCTTCTCATGAGGTGGCCAAAGTATTGGAGCCTCAGCTTCACGATCTGTCCTGAGCACTCAGGGCTGATTTCCTTCAGAATGGATAGGTTTGATCTTCTTGCAGTCCATGGGACTCTTAAGAGTCTCCTCCAGCACCATAATTCAGAAGCATCAATTCTTTGGTGATCAGCCTTCTTTATGGTCCAGCTCTTACTTCCATACATCACTACTGGGAAAACCATAGCTTTAACTATCCGGACCTTTGTTAGCAAGGTGATGTCTCTGCTTTTTAAGATGCTGTCTAGGTTTGTCATCGCTTTTCTCCCAAGAAGCAGGTGTCTTAATTTTGTGAATGTTGTCACCATCTACAGTGATCATGGAACCCAAGAAAGTAAAGCTCTCTGTGCCTCCATTTCTTCCCCTTCAATTTGCTGCTCTATAACTGCCAATTTATGGCTGGTCTATATTCACAATATTCTCAATATATACGGTACATAGGTTGATAATAAATTTGTGCCTAGTTTATCTACCAAATGTACCTTTTTGAATGGCCCAGCATTGTTTGGAAGGTGGAACTGGCAGCCTTCTACATGCATCCAAAATGCTGTATGCTTTAGGGCTGTGCTAAGCTTCATGGACATATATTAATTTTATTTAAAAAGGAAATTTGTGGACTTGTCAAAAATCAATTTGCCCTGCTCAAAGCAGTGTCTTGCTCACTTGGGTCAAATATATTGATCACTTCATTCTATTTATAGACCTGTTGTGCCTATTACATAATTGTATGCAAAACCTATTTCTCTCTCCATGCTTAACAGAAAGCACCAATCCAGTTTCATAGGCTACTGCTGTTTGCATTTCTTCCTTTTTATTTGAAAGTCTGTATGGCTGGCCATTAATTTTCCTATAGGGTAGGATGTTTTGTTTGGGTCTCCAGCTGTTTTGGGGCTACAACTCCCACCATCCCTAGCTAGCAGTGGTCAGGGATGATAGCAGAAACAGCTGGAGACCCAAGTTTGGGAAACACTAAAGGGCCAAAACTTCTCCACGCAGCACCACAAAGCTGGTGTGAAATTCTGCCACTCGCACACCTGTAAAAAAGTCAGAAGAACGTTGCACCGAAAAGAAGGCAGCCTTCTTTTACAGAGACGGGAAAAAGAAACCCCTCAGGAAGACGGGAAGGGATTTGGAACGGAGGGCGAGAGAGGGCCCGCTTGTCGGTTTCCACAATCCCCTCCTGTTCCCTTCGCCTGCCTCTTCCATTGGTCTAAGAAGGTACCAGGAAGAAGCAGGCGGCGCCTGGCGAGGGGAAGGCCTCGTGCCGCCTAGGCCTCGCTCCGTCTCTCTATTGGGCGCCGCGGGGGGAGTGGCCGTGAGGTTGGTCCCAGGCCCGGGAAGTTGTTCCTCCGCCGCCCGCCCTTCCTCCCCCGGCCGCCGCGATGTTACCGGGCCTGAAATGCCGCGTCTGCACGCTCTTTCGCTGCCCGCGCGCGGCCGCGGCTGCCCTCCGCCGCGCTTACCATGGGGACAAGGTGGCCACGGTGGGCTCTCAGCCCGACGTTGCCTCCCCGGTTTATCAGGTAGGCCGAGGAGGAGGAGGAGGAGGGGAGGAGACCCGCTTCCTTTTGGTTTTTTCCTTTTATTTTAAAGAAGGTTGAGGTAGTCTACACACACGCGCGCGCGCGCGGAAGGGCTCTCAGGTGAGCTCGCGTGGGTTTGCTTTCTGCGCACCTTCGCTTGCTCGTACCTGACGCGGTCTTAGTTTAAAAACCAGTTACAGATAGGTAGCCGTGTTGGTCTGCCATAGTCAAAACAAAAAAAATTCCTTCCAGTAGCACCTTAAAGACCAACTAAGTTAGTTCTTGGTATGAGCTTTCGTGTGCATGCACATCTGTCTGAAGAAGTGTGCACACGAAAGCTCATACCAAGAACTAACTTAGTTGGTCTTTAAGGTGCTACTGGAAGGAATTTTTTTTGTTTTAGTTTAAAAAGGGAGGGAAAGACTGGGCTTGTGTGCCTTTCTAGTGGCTAGAAGCCTTCTTCCCAATACGGAGAACCATGCCTAGCAATTCGGAGTGTAGGTCCTAAAGGTAGTCCGAATCAGCCTGAAAGTCTCGTCCCATAGCTTCACACTTGGCATTTTCTCTTGCTGGCAGCGCAACAGCTGCCACGCCTTCTTGCCACATTAGCCTAGTTTGGCAGGGAGATAGGCAGCGGTGTATTGGAGCAGAAGCTCATCCTTACAACTACAGTGCTACCTGTGGTTCAGTACTTAATTCGTTCCGGAGGTCCGTACTTAACCTGAAACTGTTCGTAACCTGAAGCACCACTTTAGCTAATGGGGCCTCCTGCTGCTGCCGCGCCGCCGGAGCACAATTTCTGTTCTCATCCTAAAGCAAAGTTCTTAACCTGAAGCACTATTTCTGGGTTAGCAGAATCTGTAACCTGAAGCGTATGTAACCTGAGGTACCACTGTACGAGCTATCAGTAAGATGGCTGATCTATTTCTCCAAAGAGCAGCACTAAGCAGCATAATCTCTCCGCCTCCCATTTTTAGAAGGAAAGATGTTCTAGAGCAGTCATGTTGCGAACCCGAGAGGATGCTTCAGAGAAACTAGAATTTCATTCCTAGTATAAAATGGGTGTCACATAGTCTGATCCCCTTGACCCCACCAGCAGTCAAATCAAATAGTTTGATGTAAGGGAGAAGCACTCCCTTCAGGAACTTGGGTCCCAATCTGTTACCGCTTTTTACACTAACATAAGCACCTTGCATGCTGACAGCTTCTGAGAGCTGAGTGCAGGGTGGCGACCAAAGGTGGACACACTACTCCAGAGGTACTACCCCTCGCCTAACACCCCATACACTCACAGTTTTGTCTGACTGGCTAAACCAGGTGGGGGTAGCTGTTGGGTCTCAAACCTTCGGTGAGTTAGGGTTTTGCCTGCATGCGAAGACGGGCTCTGGTGGATTGAGCAGACAAGACCAATAGTGGTTCCAAGGGTTAAGAAGCCGGGTTTTGCATGTGCTGTAGAGGGAAGTCAGGGACAGGTGGGTCTTGTCAACGTGAGAGAAGAAAAACTGATTCTAAACCTCTGTTGACTTGTGGATATGTTTGGGAGAAGAAAAGGCTAAAGCCCTGCACAAATCTGGAGTAGAGTCCCTGTGACAGTTGGATGGTGCCTTGTATGCTTCCTTCTGGCAACTCCTACAGCCAAGCTCGTGCCCAATATATTGCTCTACTTTCCTTTGGACCACATCAGTGAGGCCGAGAGAGCAGTCTTGTCATCTGGGCCGCCCAGGGCTTCCATACACACTGCCCAGACTTGTGCCCAAGGGAGGTCACTTTGGTGCTGCTAATGCAGCATTTTGACTTCACCCCCGAGGGCACACTCCATTGTCTCTCAAGACAGATGGATGCCAACAAGCACCATAGGCAGCCAATGAAAAGTCTTCCAAATTGGTATTATATGGCTTGGATGTGTTGAACCAAGTAAGAGTCTTGTGGCTACATTTTGCACTGACCGCAGCTTCTTGACTGCCTCCAAGGGTGGTAATTATTGGCCTTTTGGAGCATGTTGAAGACATTTTTCCTTCAGGAGGCCAGGTTTTTATCCCAGCTGGTATCTGTGTTGGATTTGAGTGGATTTTATATATGTGGCATTGTTGTTTTAAATTGCTATACAATTTCCCCCCAATTGCTTTTATAAATGCAAATGTTTCAACTGTTGCTCTCGCTATATTTCTATTGTATTATAAATCGCTTAGGATGCCACATGTGAAGTAATTCATAAATGAAACAAATAATAATAACTGTAGTCTGACATAGTAGGGTTTAGCAGCTAGAGGATCTGGCACCTAGTTGACAGAGAAGAGAGGAGCATGGAAGGTTTTGTGGCTGTGGCAGTGTGGCTTGCTGGAAGTCCATTTGGGACTTCCATTCGCTCCCGTGAAATTAGTTGCTTGTTAGTGCTCTGCAGGATCTCATTGTGAGTCTTGATTAGTTTTGGATTTTCTTTTAAAATTATTTAAAAGGAAGTTTCAAGTGAATGGCCAAGGCAAGCCAGATATATCCAGTTATGCTTAATAAACAACTATTCACGCGTATATCTAGTATAACATTCAAGGAGCAAGATGGCCCATGTTGTTAGCTGTTGAACAGGTGTAGCTATTATTTATGAAGGTCATAATATGTACACTTTGTTTCACCAGCATGTGAGGTTCCTTCCATGAGGTGCTTATACTCTGAGCAAATGTAATATGGCAAGATACTGTGCAAACTCAGAAACGGTACAGCGGCAATCATGAGTTGCCCTTCTTGATCTTTATTGTTTGTTCATTTCTGAAGATTTAACAAGGCAGGGTGGAAGATAGTTTTCAAGGCAGGATAGATGGAAAAGTAGTTTGGTAAGACAGAAAGCGTATGTGTTAGTTCAGGAATCTAAATTCATTGATGAGGTCACAGGGACAGAACTGGCAGCAGATTCCTGTAATGCACCATTTGTTTTTCCTGTGTGTTAATAATTATACATTTAGTATTCTGCTTCTTTAGTTTTCATTGTCAGACTATAGAGAAAATAATAATGGATTCAATTACATTTTGTTGTGGCTACATGAAGTTCATATTTCTTTTCAGATCCCATTGTACATGATTCATTAAATACAAAGATCCAGTTTGTATATAATGCCAAACCGTGGCTTATCCCTTGCATGAATCAAGCTTGGGCTTAGCCACCATGATTCCTTTGCTGACTTTTGGCTTTGGGCACATCATAGTTTACTGTTACACATCAACAAACTGGTTTGCATTTGCCCTTCAAATCATGGCTTCCAGTTCTCATTTGGAGAGCAAGCATGTCGTTTCCTGCTTTGGTTATAACAATATACCATGGCTTGCCAATTCAGATATTACAGTAGGGAATTGGCACATGCAAGGAGAGGAAGGAATTTGCGAGACTGAGGCTTCCTTAAGGAAGCTTTGGATTGGCAATTCTCAAACGGCAACCTATGATTCCCTATAGTAAGCCATATTTGAAACTTGGGAGACTTAAAAAAAACTGAGCAGAAAACTGACATTTTGTTTTACAAATGGGAGAAAGAACCAGAAATCCCTCTCAACTTATGAAAAAGGAGACCGTTGCTGCTGTGTAGCTTCAGAGGAAATAAATAGTATAAAAAGTTTCTTATTCACCCCATTTTTATTTATCATTCTGTAAGAATATTCTAACATCAACAGAGTGATAGAATGTAAAATATAATTTAAGCATAAGTAGTTCCTTTTTAAGGCTTGACAGGTATGAATAACTGAGGCAGAGACTGACCCATGGTCATTGCTCAGGATGTAGGGTTTATTTTATACACTTGAACACCCCTCCCTCCACTGCTCTTCTTGTGACTAAACTGGCATTACAAGCTTTTGTTTGTAGCCCACAAAATGCCATTATTATTAGTACAAAAGGGCATGTTAACTCGAATTGGCTGCATGGAAAATGCAGAATAGTCAAAACTTATATTATCAAAACAGATTTCATTGTCCTAGTTATCCTAGACTTTGACCCAGAGAGTTTCTTTCGGTACACAGAAGTGGGGGAACACATGTACTGTTTTGTGTCATTCATGCTGGTCTGGGACATCCCACTGCATTTGTCAGCCTGGATCTCTTCCTTCCTTCCTTCCTTCCTTCCTTCCTTCCTTCCTTCCTTCCTTCCTTCCTTTCTTTTCATCATCATTACCATCTGTTGTTCGTATCCCACCTCTGCAATATTGTGGCCAAAGGATCTATAGTTTATCAAATGGGCAAATAAAATGAAACATATGAACAATACAAAAAAAACCCCTAGTGTCAATAAGCAAGTACATAATAAAAATCAATGCAACTCTACAAATAAAATTGCCTAACTCAAGAGCGTAAACCTAGTTGGGAGCGAGAATAAAGCCTAACATGGGAATAACAACAGCATATAAGGCCAACTAGATCTCAGTTCCACAAGGTAACAGGATCTTCTCCATATTTAACCTGCACACCTTTGTTGGTAGCCTCACCTCTCACTTGAGACAGTCTTTCTCCTAGTGCTCATTTGGCATGTTCTCTCACTTCCCCAGCTCTGATATGGGGAAGTAAAGATTATCTTTCCTCCTTCAAGCCCCATGTATATTTTATTCAATCTTCTGCAGCCAGCAACTCTTCCAGGCAAGCTTTAAGCTTTTTAAGGCACCATGGTCGTGGTGGTGGAAAAAAGCAGGTGGAAATGCTCTGACTCTTGACTCTTTTGGTCTCCTCACCAAGCAGCTTTTCTGGCAAAGCTGTCAGGGCAGTTAAAGAATAAGTAGATAATATTTATGGATAAAATAAAACAAATAACAGCATATGTTCCTTTAAAAATAAATAAATTAGAAAGCCTGGGAGAATAAAAATGTAGTTTTCTGACAACTGAAAAAATGGTTTGGCACCAGGTGAGAAGACTGTCTTTTTGGTAGCTACCCGGAGGAGAGCCTTTGAAGATGGCTTTAATTCACAGTAATCGACAGTGGTATTTGGTGTGTGTGAACTTCTGAAACTCTGGGATAAATACACAAAAGAGAAACAAGTATGTATTTAATAAGCCTTTAACCAGCTTTAACAACATGTTTTGGAAAAGTGGTTTATAAACATAATTGTTCAATAGTGAAGAAAAGGGGTGGGATTTATTGTCTCTGGTTAAACATTTTCATAAGTTAACCTGTTGAAACATTCTCCACCAGGAAAACTATGAACGGATGAAGGCATTAGTAACAGAACTCCAACAGCAATCTGAAAAAATCAGGTTTGGTATGTCCTGTTTTTCTCCTATTAGAGCATCGTATAATTGGAAACTGGTTGTATTTGGCCTTCAATATCAGAAGGTCGGCGGTTTGAATCCCTGCAGTGGGGTGAGCTCCCGTTGCTCGGTCACTGCTCCTGCCAACCTAGCAGGAGTGCAAGTAGATAAATAGGTACCGCTCCGGTGGGCAGTGCAAGTAGATAAATAGGTACCGCTCCGGTGGGCAGGTAAACGGCGTTTCCGTGCACGGCTCTGGTTCGCCAGAAGCAGCTTAGTCATGGTGGCCACATGACCCGGAAGCTGTACGCCGGCTCCCTCGGCCAATAAAGCGAGATGAGCGCCGCAACCCCAGAGTCGGCCACGACTGGACCTAATGGTCAGGGGTCCCTTTACCTTTACCATGATAAAATACCATTGCTTTAGGACTTAATAGAAAAAGACAGAAATTGTATCATTTAACAGTTGTTTAGCATCGGTGTAATATATTACAAATACAAGTAACAGAAGTTTATGAAAATAATGCATCTTTTATTAATGTCTTTGATTATAAAATAGTATTGATTATTGCTAAAGGGCGTGAGCTATTTGTTCAGCTCCATGCACAAGGAATAATAAAAGATCTTGCATGACAGGTGGTGGAGAGAAGGCACGGAAGCTTCACACATCAAGAGGAAAATTGTTACCTAGAGAAAGAATTGACAGACTCATAGATCCTGGGTGGGTACTTCCTTCTTCATTATTAATATTTTAATGTACAGGATGTTTAAGTTAGCAGATTGCTTTGTTTCCAAGATTTTAACGTCATGGTAAACCATTTCAGATTATATTAGAATTTAGTCATTTGGAAAGACAAATATTGTGTACTTATGTTGTTTTGGTAGCCATCATTAAGCAGGGTCTATAAATTATGTCTGTGCTTGGTAACCAGCTGTGAAGTCAGTACTATCATTGTTGTTCTTGTTAGCATCTGTCGGTCTTGGGAGACAGTGGAATAGTGCGCCTTCGAGGGTAAAGTCACACCGTTGGAGGGTTACAGTGCCTGCTGTAGATAGCACAATAATAGTATATGAATTTATCAACATTTAAAAGCAAGTAAACTGAGCCCGAGCTCTGGGGAAATGGAGGCACTGTGCATTGGTGGCTCCTGTGTCTGGGAGATTAGCTGTTTGTTTGTTCTGGATGGGGTTTCACTTCCTCTGAAAGAACAGGTACTTGAAGTTCAGGGTTGCTCCTGGAATCATCTTTGTCTCTGGAGGCTCAAGTAGCCTCAGTGGCTAGGAGTGCCTTTTACCAGCTATTGTTGGTATGTTCACTACGGCTGTCCTTGAGCAGGGATAATCTAGCCACAGTGATTCATGCATTGGTAACTGCAAGACTCAGTTACTGCAATCTGCTCTATAGGGCGTTACCCTTCAGCCCAGTCTGGAGGCTCCAGCTCAGGCATAGGCAAACTCCGGCCCTCCAGATGTTTGGGACTACAATTCCCATCATCCCTGACCACTGGTCCTGTTAGCAAGGGATGATGGGAATTGTAGTCCCAAACATCTGGAGGGCTGGAGTTTGCCTATGCCTGCTCCATCTAGTGCAAAATGCTGCAATTTAGAATGTTGATGCTGGCAGACAATTGCCAGTATATGACTCCAGTGCTCAAAAACCTTCTCATCCACTACTGGACTCAGTTCAGAGTTCTTATATTAATTTACATGGCCCATAGCCACCTGGATCCAGGATGGAGCTTTACTTGTGGCCTTGCCTAATATATACCCACTTGACAGCTTCAGTCTGCAGAACTGACACTGTTACAGGTGCTACATAATACTCATTTTACTGTTGTAAGAAATTTATCTTAGTGTGGCAGCACCCATTAACACCAGGCCTATTAACAATATGCTTATTTTAATTTTCTAAAAATTATAATGACAAAATATGGTTAGTTTTTCAGGGAGCCCTGTGAAAATTTAAAGAATGAACTTATTTCTGGCATGAGTTTTTATATGCAGGGGTAGACAGTTCGGTGCCTCCAGATACTGTTGGACTACAACTCCCATCATCCTTGACCATTGGTTATGTTGGCTTGGGCTGATGGGATATGTAGTCCAGTAAAATCTGCATGGTACCACATTGCCTACCATTGCTATAGAATTTATGTCTCAGCTTTAGTTTTTTCCCTAACCTGGCAAATTGTTTGCTCCTCTAACAGCTTCCATGAAAATTATCTCACCCAATTCATGATATCATAAGCAAATACCACTTTTCTGTGAGATAACTCAAAATTTGGCAAGATATAAAGCTTACTTTATATGTTGTGTGAGAATGGAAAGGTGGAATAAAAATTCCAAATAAGTAATACAGTACATGTAATTAAAATATGTTTTTGGAGTCAATCTATGAGCTTGAAAAGTTACCTACCTAAAATGCTTCATATGACTTATGTGCCTGAGATTTCTAAAAAATCTTTTCCCAGGTCTCCATTCCTGGAGTTCTCCCAGTTTGCAGGTTACCAGCTATATGGCGATGAAGAGGTACCAGCAGGTGGCATCATTACAGGCATTGGACGGGTGTCAGGGTGAGAACTGTTACTATCTGTGCTTTTTGTGGGTTGCAACTCTGGCTTTCTGACAGCTTGCAAAATGTCAGAAAACAATCTCAAGAGATCACAATTCATAGGTCTTTTTATTTTCCAGAATTACTGTTTTACTGTGTAATAAGAGCTGTTTCTGAAGATTCATTAGCAGCACATAAGATGCAGCAATGTCACCTTCAGTTTAAGTGTAATAGATGTTTGTGTAACACTCTCTGTCATGATACAGGACTGATGGAAACCTTTTATGAGATATGATTGGCATTGCATACCTGAGCATGTTTATTTGGATGAAAGTTTGATGGATTTCAGTCTTGTTAGGATTAATGCCAGCAATTCTCTTGCTCAACTGGGAAAGATTTAGTCGCTGAAAATCATTTGTGTTTCAGAGTGGAGTGTTTGATTATTGCAAATGATGCAACTGTCAAAGGTGGAACATACTATCCAATCACTGTAAAGAAGCACCTGCGTGCTCAAGAAATCGCAATGCAGAATAATCTCCCTTGTCTATATTTAGGTAAGTTCTATTGCAAACACTATTATTAACTGATATGCTAAGGTTGGAGGCAGGCTATATTTTTAAGAGTAGGCTGTCAATGACAAATTTGTTTTTACCCTTCTAGTGATGGGGAGCCATAGTGCTTTTACTCACTAAAATGTGGTTAAGGAAGCTCAGTTATGGTTTGGCTTGGTGTAAGAATTAACAATACATGGATTACAATCAGCTGGCGAATCTGAATAGGAAACTCTGGTTTGAAGTGGGTTTGGAAATCAAGGTTTGCTCTAACACGTTTGGCATTATGTCTGATTTGGCAACCATAGTTATGTTCATCAAAGGCTGCTACACCATGGATGATGGGAATGAATTTCTGAAGCTGCATGCTGAAGACAGAAAACAAATGTACACTAGTAGCTTTAAACTCTAGTTTGTCTGTTGTATGTCTATTTATTTTTCTTTTATACCACCTTTTGTCACAAGAGAGCCCAATGCAGTTAACAACTTTCATGAACACAACTCACAGTTTTTTTATACCATAATCTATAATGGGTGCAAACTAAGCTTAGACTTGGTGCTTAAATTAAGTCTCTGTGTGTGCGTCCTTCTTGGAAATGACAAACTTTTTGTACACATTACATACTGTTTAAACAATTCAGAGCAGTACAGTGGAGCAAAGTATTGAGCGCAAGTATCAAATTGCAAATCAGGCTGTACATCTCTAATGCTTCATCTAAGCATCTGAAAAGGCTGGGCTTTAAGCAACTGTTGTCCAGAGTAAAGCTGCCTATTTTTCCTTTTTCAGGTGCTGGAGCCCACCCTGTTCTTCCCTTCGGTGGCACTTGCTTAGATAAAGGGCTGTAGACTGGAGGCAAGGACAACCTTTCGTCCAAGCAATTGTCATATAAGGGTTCTGGCTTGCAGTGACAGTGGCTGATTAAGGACTTTGAACAGGGGAAGAAAGCAAATGCCTTTTCTTGTCTCAAACTTCTATGATTTTTCATTGTCCTCCTCACAGGGAATAATGGTTTCCAGTAGCGTTTAGATAAATATGTTGTTTATCAATGTTCAATCTTTATTTTAACTTAGTTGACTCTGGAGGTGCAAACTTACCACGCCAGGCAGAAGTGTTTCCCGATCGTGATCATTTTGGTAGAATTTTCTATAACCAAGCACGCATGTCTTCACAAAGAATTCCACAGGTAACTTTATTTGAGAATAAAAGCAGGAATATAATTAAGCTGGATTGTAAAGGGAACTATATAGGCAGTGACATGCATCATATGGAATTGAGAACTAAATAATTTTCAGTTACAATGGAAAATGTCAATTAAAAGTCATCCTTGCTATTTAGGACACTCATGAATTTCTTATCTCAATTTATCACATTAGTGTTTGTCTCTTGTGTGTATTTGGAGTTGACAAGAAAACTGTCTCAGGTTTGTTTTATTTCAAAAGGACATTTCTTCTTCTTTTATTCATGTGCTGTTGAAAACACATAGCAGTGGGTAGAATTATTTTATACAACTTGTTAAAAGAAACTGTTTTGACCGTATCTGATCTTATGCTTGGAAGCAGAGGCACAACAGCAGGAAGCAATTTGCTAGCACTTCACCTACATGGCTTTACCCCACTCCATCACCATTTAACTAGAAAAGCTTTGAGTGTGTACTGATGTACGTCAAAACGGGAATTGGCATTCTCCTCCCCACTTCTACACATCATTCTTTTACCTTTTGCACTGCAATCAAAATACGTACTTGCCTCTTTGAACACTGATTTGTTGTTCACTTTGTCCTTCCTTCCATATCTTTAGGAAGACTGTCTCCTTTTTAAAAAAAGTTCAAAAGACTTCATTTGGAACTTTTTTAGAGAGAGAGAAATCATTTTTTCTTTTTAAAGTTGCAAAAGTTTGCTGGGCAGAAGGGCGATGATGGATTCATGATACCACAGGTCCCAGCCAGTTAGTACTGTGCACTGTTGACTGTTTCTGCAAGCTGGCCAATTGGGTTTTCCTTGTATTTGAGCCTGGAAAGAGAAAGTTTTGTCTGACCGCAAGATGACGAGTCTTCTTCAGAGTGCAATGACCCCCCGAATAGCTCTGTGTGTTTTGGATTCCCTCTTTCACTGCTCTCCCACTACCCAGTGGCTGTCTGTTTTAATTCTTTCAAAGTGGGAATCTAATAAACTAGAGGATGTTTTCCCCAGTGTAAAATTAATATTACGTAAATCCGTGAGTAAATAGATGCCCCTTACACATTTAGGGGCTTTGTGTTTTTCTTGGATGATTGATAAATATATTTGTCTGACCCACCGGGATAACAGACAAACCTTTATAAATAAATAAATGGACAGATACATAGGTAGATAGATAAACTGGATTCTTTCTTTTTTAAATATGGCAACCCTACCCACCAGGATAACAGCTATCAGGTTATACATTAAAATAAATGATTTTTATTAATTCATACAAATTATTTACATGTCTAGCATATAATATCCTGGAGACAGCACAAAAGTTATTTTATCCATCACAGACGGTCATTCCCAGGAAAGAATATAGTTCAACTGTACTGTTCAGCATAGTCATATCTACAAAGATGCTTGGGAGAGTTTGTATTGAAGAGCAGTTTAATTTGTATACTGAATAAATGAGCACCATATTGCACAAAATATGTCCAGATTTTCTGTTCCTTTTATCACTAAGTTATGAGTTATTTTCTCAGTGATAGCCAGCCACCATACATGTTTATACCTTAAATCCAGGATAGTCTCTGTAAGGCCTTCCAGGTTTGACCTATAGAGAACCAAGTGGCCACTAAAAGAATAGTTAGTAAATCTTTAGTCTTTATAGCAACATTCAAGGCCTCGAAAGAGGGATAGTAAACACAATTGGAACGTTAAATCCATGGCTGCCTGAATTACGTTGGATACTTCTGAGTCCCCCAAATACCTGTATTACCAGGCAACCCTGCTGTAAGTGATAATAAGTCCCCTTGCTATCACATCGCCACCAGCATCATGGTTGGACTGTAGGTGATACATGGGTATCCACTACCACCTGCATACCACTTTTAAAGTATTTTCTAATATACGCAGAAGCAGATTTTGCTGAGACCCAGGCCCATCACATCTGTTTCCCAAACCATTTTCCAAACCAATCAAGGCCCTCATTTGGTTGTTGATTATCGTGTTATATATAAGAAACGAGTCCTTTACAGCCACAAGAAAATAATTTCATCAAACCATGTCATAGTCCTAGAGGCATGTAATTTAATGATTGGGTTTCAGATGATATCACAAAATCGATGTAATTGCAGCCCCCACCCTCCAGCTCTGTTACCTATATCTACCCTAAGTTGTTCTTGTGGAATTAGATTTCTGTTTCGAAAGAAATATAATCCTGCCTTTTTCTCAAACTAAGAAAAATTTTTCCCCTCATAAACATCTTAATGATTTGAATAGTTGCCTGTAACACTTTCTCCTGTGCCTTCAGTGTTCATAATGGACATAAAGGGTGCCTTTTCAGTCAATGATGATGCCTAATTTACCCTCGATTTTGTATAGTGCATTTCCTTTCAATAAATGCCCACTGAGACAGCAAGGGCGGAAGGTTATATCCTTTCATTTTTCTTGCTTGCTTTCTCAAGCTTTTTCTATGCTTTTATGGTAATACTAATTTGGTGAAAATGTCATGCTTTGTGCTTCATATTTAGAGGTCTGAGTGCACCAGTTGGGACAATATTCCTCTCTTACATAGCAGGAATGAATCTTTAAAGGAGTGACTCTGGGAAGGATTAATATTACTGTTCTATAAAACGCTGCCTGGAAAGACCCAGCAGCATCAGCAGCTTGCATAATTTATAGATCCAATTGGCAGAACTAAAGAGAACTATTCCTCTTCCGATCAGCTTACAAACTTAGTCTAGATGTAAACAAATATGAGCCAGTTGCTGCACGTTAGGTTGCAAGACTACAAGGAAGTGAAGTTGCCCGTAGGTGAGTATATTTCTTTCTGTTGAATGCTGTGTTTCTGTTTGTTTTCTCAGATAGCCGTGGTTATGGGTTCATGTACAGCAGGAGGAGCCTATGTCCCTGCAATGGCTGATGAAAGTATAATAGTTGGCAAGCAAGGGACGATTTTTTTGGGAGGTCCTCCATTGGTGAGTGCATGGTTTTGAACGGATTTTGTAGGATTTCCTGCTTTTGTTATAACATATAACTGTGTCACAGGCTTCTATGAAGAAATGGGGTCACACCAAAAACAATACCTGCCCTAGCTGTATCCCAGATAGTTGAGGAAAATGTCTGAGATAATATGTGTTCTATCATCCAGCCACTTTCCTTCCTGTTGTTGTTGTTGTTTAGTCGTTTAGTCGTGTCCGACTCTTCGTGACCCCATGGACCAGAGCACGCCAGGCACTCCTGTCTTCCACTGCCTCCCGCAGTTTGGTCAGACTCATGTTTGTACCTTCGAAAACACTGTCCAACCATCTCGTCCTCTGTCGTCCCCTTCTCCTTGTGCCCTCCATCTTTCCCAACCTCAGGGTCTTTTCCAGGGAGTCTTCTCTTCTCATGAGGTGGCCAAAGTATTGGAGCCTCAGCTTCACGATCTGTCCTTCCAGTGAGCACTCAGGGCTGATTTCCTTCAGAATGTATAGGTTTGATCTTCTTGCTGTCCATGGGACTCTCAAGAGTCTCCTCCAGCACCATAATTCAAAAGCATTTTCCTTCCTGTATCCTTTTCAATGTGATGTAAACTATTATTTCCTTAACTATATCCAATTCTGCTTTTTAATTATAAACATCCATTTTCCAATATTTTGTCAGTCCTTAATTAAAAACAGAGCTAACACATTAAAGGGGAAACATGATACAGAACTTTTAGAACTTTGGAAATTTGTAGTTGTTGAAATATATTTCAATAAAAAGTGGCAGCCACTACCTAGATTTCTTTTACCAAGATGATGCGTTGTCAAAGCTGAAACATGCACATTTCATTGCTTAGCTTGCAGGGATAATGGCTTCAGCGTGGGAAGTGTTTTCCTCGGTCAGGAATAGTGTTCTGGTACAAAAGTAATCAGCAGAAGCAGACACAGAAAATCAATAGGTACCTTTGGATGACGAAACTCTGCCATTTAGCCCTAATTAATTTGTTACTTAATTTCCTGCTTGAATTTTCGGCACTAATTATATCACTTTAGAAAAATGGAACAGACTCAGAGCTTATTGATTAGTTTTAAGTGTAAATTTTTTTTTGAAACAAATGTTTTTTTTAAATAATAGGTAGCTTTGAGGCTGCTAAGTTGAATGGAAATGGAGATTTGAGGCAGGCAGGCTCTGCTTAGCATCAGATAATATTAAAATTAGGTTTTGGGGAAATGATTCTGTATTTGTCTTTAAGGATTGGCCACTACTAGCTGCAGCACAAATTCCTTACTCTTGTGCTGGATCCAGCACAAAATCCCTCACTCTTACATTTAAATTTATTCATGCCCCACGACCCACTCCTTCAGCTACACCTCCCACAGTCATAAAAAAGTCTCCAGCTCCCTTAAACAACTCTGCTGTTTCTCCTTGCTTCCCCTTATGCCTGGAGCTCTCTCTCATGCAACACCGCCTCTCCCCCATTTTCTGTGTCTTCTTTGGCACACCCTTTCAGTCTTCTCTCCTGATATGATCACCCTTAAATCTGTTCCTGAACTGAACACATGTTCTTCCAATTTTACTGTTTAACTTTAGATAATAAGATCCTGGAAGTCTTTATAAAGTGACATACATATTAATAGTGCTTCTTAAATAATCATAATAATGATTTTATGTTACTTGGTTATATTTTTATGGCATTTAATACTCTACTCAATCAGCTATGTCCACTGGGCATAGAGCAAAGTGCTCCATCCCGTCTTCCCTTTCCAGCATTAGTATTATGTAGCAGTACGTCTGAACCAACTGTGTAGACCAGTGTTTATTACTAGGTTCAGACCTTGGTTTATATGGGCCAAAGTAGTGAACTGAAGAGATTCTTGGATGAGAGTTGGGGGAAGTAACAGGCAGGGTCCAAAGCCTGAAAATTTCAAAGATTATTGTAGTTAACTTTTAAAAAAAACACATAATTGCATTGCTGCTTATCTTTGGAAGCTATTTTGGAAGCCTTTTCAGCTATGGGCTAAAATTTCTTTAAATATATAAATAGCATCCCTAGTTCTATGAACTTCTGTGCTGAGACTTTGTTTTTGTATTTTAGGTTAAAGCAGCAACAGGGGAGGAGGTATCAGCAGAAGATCTTGGTGGTGCTGATCTTCACTGCAGGTAAAACAAAACACTCTTCTCCACCTTCAGTACATCTTAATGGAACGTGCCTTAAATTATGTTGCTTTGAACTGTTGTTGCATTCCCCTTGCTTTAAATAATGGTGGGCTCTTCTGCTGTCAATGGATATTACCACTAAATGCTTGCCCTTTCTTTCTCAAGTTCCCTTTGTGTTTGGGTTCTATGGCATGTCATTCCCTGCCCCCCACCCAAAAGTATTTCACCATTGAATAGTAAATAAAAATATGTTGCTTAATAACATGCCATGGTCTTGTATTTTAAATCTGTGCAGAAAATCTGGTGTAACTGATCACTATGCCTTGGATGATAACCATGCACTCCATTTAGCGAGGAAAGTGGTGAGAAGTTTGAATTACCAGAAGAAAGTAGACGTGAGTATGTTTTGTTCACTTTCCTTTGAAGCGATGTATGAAATAGAATACTTAGAATGTGGCTTTGGTAGCAGTGCTGTGCATTTAAAGTTTCCATTTGAACTGTGGCCTGTTGCAAACATAAGACAGCTGGTTTCTTAATCATGGTTAGATTGAAAGTGGATCGCAAGCTCATGTGTTCCCTCCCTTCTCCCATTTGGATTCTACCCATCCTCCCTTGTTAACACTATCCCTGGAGCAGTGTGTTATCAGTACGGTCACTAGCCAGGTTTACGCTAGGCCAGATTTTGACATAAGGGGTGGTATTCAACGAAGTGATACTTAGTAGAGCCATTGAAATTAATGCACATGAAAAAGTGAAGTCCATTAATTTTAAGAGGTCTACTCTGAGTGAACTTCAACCATGGCTTTTATGTAGGTACAGATATATCATTCAATGCACCAAGGTTAATGAGGAGCTCATCTGGGGGGAGCGGGTGGGAGATGGAGTAAGCAGGTCTGTCCTTGTCTGATGATGTATTAAACTTAGTTCAGAAAATGAAGAGTTATGCCTGCACTGGCCCTGACTAGATATTAGACTATTACCTTTTCAGACCTACAATTTAACTTTCAGACCTACAATTTAGGATAGCATACACCATCCATCCTATCCTCCTGTCGCACACAAATTAATCTAACCTTCCTATTCCAGGGTTATGTGTGATTGTCATGAAACCACGGGTGTTCCTGAACTCTGATTGTGGTGCTCAGTGTGAGTTTAGGATCATGGTAGTATCACCTACTTGAGCAGGGCTGAAGCTGAAAACACCTGCAAGGAAAAGCCTCCTTTGGTCTCAGGGAGAGAGAGTTGGGAGGAGAGCCCTGCTGTGCCCTCCCTCTTCTGTCCTCCTCCTCTTCCAGGGGTGACCCATTGGGCTTTAAGGCTAATTTCTGCAAAGGCCAGCTGCTAAGTCTCAGCACAGTCCAGTGTGCCTCTTTTGCCCCCTAGCGGCTCAGACTGAGGAGAGCCAGTGTGGTGTAGTGGTTAAGAGCGGTTGACCTGTAATCTGGTGAACCTGGTTCACATCTCTGTTCCTCCACATGCAGCTGCTGGGTGACCTTGGGCTAGTCACACTTCTCTGAAGTCTCTCAGCCCCACTCACCTCACAGAGTGTTTGTTGTGGGGGAGGAAGGAGATTGTTAGCCGCTTTGAGACTCCTTAGGGTAGTGATAAAGCGGGATGTCAAATCCAAACTACTACTCCTCTTCTTCTTCTTCTTCTTCTTCTTCTTCTTCTTCTTCTTCTTCTTCTTCTTCTTCACCACAGCAAGACTTGTGCAAAAATAGGGTGCCAGGTACTATATATGATACCCCATTCCCAGTCCCTTAACCAGGGTTCAATTTTCTTTCTATCTTTTCTTTCTATCTTTTATTTAATTTGATTTCTTACCCACCTTTTCCTATATCCAATGCCCTTTTAAAATGTATTAGGGAAGGGGGATTATTGGGTTTTTTAATTATCATTTTTATTATGTATTTTATGTTTTTATATTGTGATTTTATGTTGTAACCACCCTTAGACCTGCGGGTGTAGGGTGGTATACTAATTTAATAGATAATAGGGTCCCAAGGTGAGTTACAACAATAAAATATATAATTACAAAACAAATAACTTGTAGGTCAGAATTGAGCCGTAAAGCTGTTTTGGAAATGTGTAAATTACTGCTGGAACTTAGGAAGAGCTGCGAGGAAGAGAGAAAAGTTCTAAGAATCCAGGATAAGTTTAACTGTCATGCTGAATGAATTGTTACTCAGATGCAAACACTTGAGCCTGAGTTGGTTATAGAGAGAGACTCTGGAAACCTGTAGGAAAATATTGATGAATGTTTTGATTAATTTGTGGGTTTTTTTGTACTTTAAATTATTGCAGGTGACAATAGAACCATCGGAAGAACCTTTGTTTCCTGCTGATGAACTTTATGGGATAGTTGGAGAGCAGCTTAAAAGAAATTTTGATGTTAGAGAGGTATAAATACGAAATATTGCTGCCATGATTGTCTATTTTGTATTGTTTTAAATGTATCTGCTGCTTAATTGTTTTTTGTTTGCTATTTTTATTGTACATCACCTTGAGACAATTGTGAAGAAGGTGACTGATGACGGTGATGATAACAACCACTTTCTATAATAATCGGGCTTTCAGTTTCAAACACGTTCAGCCTAGTGTGTTCCTTCAGCTGGTAGTAATGAAGCCCAGTTACTTGGAATTTAATATCAATCTAATACAAAAGAGAATGTGATCTTAAAAATATTATCTGTTGTAACGAAGAATGAACTAATAATGTGTGTCTTGTTTGTTTTTCTACTTAAGGTCATTGCTAGACTTGTAGATGGAAGTAAATTCGATGAATTTAAAGCCTTATACGGGATACCTTAATCACAGGTATTATTTTTAGGTGATTAGAAATCAAATTTCCTGCTACACATTTCAGAAAGTAGTTTATTTGTTTGCTATGGACTTGGACACTTCTTATGATATCAGAACCAAATTTGCATAAAGGTTCATGAGATCAGGGAGCAGGTGCCATTTTGAATCAAGATGGTGAACTGAACCTTTCAAAACTGCACCTATTTCCCCTGCTTATTTCAAAACTGAACTGATTTTTTGTTTTTTATTTACAATTCATGAGGAACACCAGGTATGAAGCTGCTACTGTTTAATATGTTGGAATATGGGTATGTTTGCATTTTAAAAATACTTTGTAAGAGCTTGTGGAAAATTAACAATTCATATAATTTATATGGAAGAATTGTGGCTGCAGGCCTAAAACTCTTATTCTTAGAATACTGATTTCATTCAAAAGGTGTTGAAATGTTTTATGCTTTCATTGTGAGATACATGTGCAATTTTCTCTTATTCTCATTTCCCCCTCTAGGATTTGCTCGGATATTTGGTTATCCGGTAGGAATAATTGGAAACAATGGTGTCCTTTTTTCAGAATCTGCAAAGAAGGTAAGTATAGCATACGTTATTGAAGCTCTGCCTTCCAGATTTTCATTATTGCTGAGAACAAAGCAAACACCATAGACTACATTCATAGTGGGTAATTAATTAACTTTTTGGTGGTTACTTATGACTATAAGAAGCATAACCAAGTCTAAAAAAAATAATAATTTCATCTTTACATTTTCTTACATTTTAAGGCAGGGATGGGGAACCTGTAGCCTTCCAGATGTTGCTGGACTAGAACTCCAATTATCCTGTTTTATGTTGACTGGGGAATTGTAGTCCGGGACATCTTCATGACCACGCTCCCCATCCCTGTTTTAAGGAAATATAATTACTCTTGCTGATTTTAGATGTAAATACAGTGGTAAAGGTAAAGGTAAAGGTAAAGGTAAAGGTACCCCTGCCTGTACGGGCCAGTCTTGACAGACTCTAGGGTTGTGCGCTCATCTCACTTAAGAGGCCGGGGGCCAGCGCTGTCCAGAGACACTTCCGGGTCACGTGGCCAGCGTGACAAAGCTGCATCTGGCGAGCCAGCGCAGCACACGGAAACGCCGTTTACCTTCCCGCCAGTAAGCGGTCCCTATTTATCTACTTGCACCCGGGGGTGCTTTCGAACTGCTAGGTTGGCAGGCGCTGGGACTGAGCAATGGGAGCGCACCCCGCCGCGGGGATTCAAACCGCCGACCTTTCGATCGGCAAGCCCTAGGCGCTGAGGCTTTTACCCACAGCGCCACCCGCGTCCCAAATACAGTGGTACCTCGGGTTAAGTACTTAATTCGTTCCGGAGGTCTGTACTTATCCTGAAACTGTTCCTAACCTGAAGACCACTTTAGCTAATGGGGCCTCCCGCTGCCGCTGCGCCGCCGGAGCACGATTTCTGTTCTTATGCTGAAGCAAAGTTCTTAACCTGAAGCACTATTTCTGGGTTAGCGGAGTGTGTAACCTGAAGCGTATGTAACCTGAAGCGTATGTAACCCGAGGTACCACTGTATGCCCAACAAGAAGAAACACTTAGAAGACATTCTGTCATAGATTTATTGTCTAATAGTGTGTGTATGTAATAATACTGACTTACCTTTCAGTGTTGTTGTAAGGGTTACAACTAGATAGTGCACGGGAAACACTTTGAACGTTTGTACAGATGCTAAGTATGATTATTAACAAAGTTACGAAAGCTTTTTCTCAAGACCTGCCACGCTGCAAGAATTTTTTAGTCTAACCTGCTATTTTGTCACTCTTAATGGCAGTGATCTAACGTACTATTTTTAGCATTCCGTACCATAGCAAACTTGTTTCCTCAGTTATTACCACCTACCATTTATCACATCCTTATGTGTTGAAACTTGCTTCAAATCTATTTTAGCAGTTATTGGGGAATGAGTAACTTCTTCATGAATCAGCTGTTTACGAAGATAAGTAACACTAACTGGGAAAAGTTGTTTTATTCTGAAGCAATTTGAGAGTATTACTACAGTTAGAAAAAATAACAGCAGACAAGCTGATGCTCAGGTATAGGGTCATTTCCAACGGAGGGAATTGGGAAAGTGCAATTATGTGTTGGAATGTTTGTTTTTTTAATTAGATAAGCCTTATATATCATGTAAAAGATTGTGATACACACACACACACACACACACACACACACACACACACAGCAACTTAATAAAACATTGTCATGGAAGCACTTATTGGTTTTAACAATAGATGGGATTGAAGATAAGCTGTTCAACAATTAACTGCCAGTAGGTCCCTTTACCTTTTAGATAAACTATCTTTTTACTGTCTTTACAGGGCACCCATTTTATTCAGCTTTGTTGTCAGAGAAACATTCCCATTGTATTTCTGCAAAACATCACAGGTCTGTGACTCATTATGATTTATGTAGCTGAATTTCAGGGGAAATAAATTATTTGGAGCTGCGATTCATTGCATAGCCCCCAGGCAACTAAATACGTAGTAGTAATAAATATATTCCTATCCATTATTTATAACCTTTATTTGTTTTTTTAGGAGGGCTGTAGAGATGACATTAAGTAAAGTGTTATTAAAGTGTCTTAAAATCTAAGCAGTATATAATGACTGTTATCTTAAAGTAAGAATAGATTAATACCTTAAATAGCGAGGAAGCTATTTATGTTGTGTTTTGGTTGGGGTGGGCCCAGTAAAGGTGTTACCTTACTGTTGCTTTTGGATTCTCTCCCCACCCCCTCTGCAATGGACCAGTAAGATTACTTTGCAAAATTGGTTGACATTGATCTTGCTGCTTTTATAATTCACTAGGTTTCATGGTTGGTAAGGATTATGAAGCTGGTGGAATAGCAAAAGATGGAGCCAAGATGGTAACTGCTGTAGCATGTGCCAATGTGCCTAAAATAACAGTACTAATTGGAGGTTCCTATGGAGCTGGAAATTATGGGATGTGTGGAAGAGCATATAGGTAAGTATGTGCCTAGAATTAGTTAACTGTTAAATGCAGTTGTGGCTCAGGCAGACTATGCCACCTGTGTTTATTCACCTTATACAGGTGAATTAGCGAATGTATACATTCGTATGTCCTACTCATTGTATTAGATCCCTTGGTCATTCCAGTTACATGGTGCTTATGTCACTTTGTATGTGTAATGTTGCAGTATCCTGGCACAGAAACTCAAATACCCCTTCTTTATAGCTAGAAAAACTTGATGGAAATTTTGATGCTCACTGTAGGTACCAATGGATAATTAAGCGGTATAACAACTCTGCTAAATGAATTAAATAAATGGCATGGTTAAGGGAAATGGTGGATCTTTGCTGCTTTCATATTATGCAAATCACAATGACAGTAAGGAAGTTTAGGTACATGATGGAGCAGGTCTTTGAAACTCTTCCTGTCCCTATGCCCCTCAAACATAAAATAAAATTAGAATAATTCTGGAGTAGGGAATTTGGGGGAAAAGCAGGAGATTTGTGCCCTGTGTTAGTTTGTTTTATCTTTTTCAGTCCCAGATTCCTTTTTATGTGGCCAAATGCTCGGATCTCAGTTATGGGAGGAGAGCAAGCTGCAATGGTTTTGGCTACAATAGCCAAGGACCGAAAAGCAAGGGAAGGGAAGCAGGTAAGTATTTTTTGTTATTGATGTGGGTAAGAAGACAGGTGTAAATCTGGGAATGGGGCAGGGAGAGAGATGTGAGATTGAAGCTTTCTGGTTCTTGTTCTTGTCATGCTAACCTATGGTCTTATGCAACCAGTGTGCAATATCACTTCTTAATAGATAAAAGTGTAGCTCTTGCAGACTAAAACCCCACTTTCTTTCCATATCAATCCACTAGCTAACTGAAGAGGAGGAAAAAACTCTCAAAGAGCCAATCATCCGGAGGTTTGAAGAGGAAGGCAGTCCTTACTACTCTAGTGCACGGTAACATATAGATTATAGTTTAACATGCTACGGTGTTTTGCTTCCACACCCCCCCCCTCGCCACCACAACCTGTGGGGGTGGTTCTGATAAAGCTTAAACTGCAAAGATGTTGGATTGTCACAAGGGTCAGATAGGTAATGCCTTACTCTTCCATTAGCGGAACAGAGACTTGATTGAATCAGGCCCTTTATTATCAACTATTTATTAAACATTGTTAATGTGCAAAGTGTTCAGTCCTGTGCACCCACAAAATTGGTAAATATAATCAACACTCCGATTTAACAGATGAAATACTGAGGTTCAAATATAATAGCTCTAGTTAAGGCTATTCCACGTACCTGAGGGCACTGGCGGAGGAAGAGTGCGGGGGGATCGCATCGCCCCTGGCAGCATGTCCCGGTGGGGTGCCATCACGGCTGCCCCCCCTGCCTGCACTGGGCGCCATGCCCCCAGGATGCATGCCAGCCCCTGCCTGCTCCTCCACTGCCTGAGGGGGATGTGAAGTCTGATAATCAAGGATCAAGCTCAGTACTCTTATTTACCAGCCGAAACTGGCTTTTCATGATCTGCTAGAGATAAATTTACTTGGATCATTTTGTGCTTTACTAGGCATGAGGGCAGCCAGCATCTCTCTTAGAATTACTAAAGCAGAGTGTATGTTTATTATGTTATTTAAAAGTTTTTATTTAGTAATAGTAGCAAGCCATATCTTTCTTGTGATAATTCAAGAAACGCATTTGAAGAATGCTAGAGCTTTTATCTTCCAAAAAGCAAATGAAACTGTTTACCACAGAGGATATATTTTACTTGCATTTGAATTACCACCTTGTAAATCTGATCAGTCAGATTTATTAAAAGGTGTTAATAAGTGTGAGTTTAAACACAAAACTTCACTGTCTATTATTCATTGTCCTACTGCCAACACCAAAAAATTGCAAGAACCTGGGGCAATCTTTTTTCTTGAGAGTTGACATAGCAGGCTGTGTTGCATGTTGTCGCTAAGCCATTGTTTAGCATTATGAGAACAAACTGCAATGAGCCTTGCAGGGCTTGCTTGCTCCCATCTTCCCCTCTCCTGATCCCAAACAACTGCAAAGAAGTTAAGCTAACAGCTTGCCATGTTGTCTGAACCCAGACAAACTGTGACTAATGTTAAATATACCTGGTTGCCATAAACCAGCTTATTCAAACCACAGTCAACATTGACTGTAGTTTTGCAGGGTTCAGATGATAGGCTAAAGCGCAGTTATACTAAAGCAGTAATTTCCTATCTATTGGCCATTCCAGAGGAAGAAAAGAGCTTGCAATCCTGAGGTTCTCTATAATTTGTTCTCAGAATGCTAAACCATGGTTTTAGCATTAACGTCCAAAGGCATCCAGCGTTTGTGAATTACTCAGTTCTCACAGACTTATCTATATAGTAGTAGCCTATCTTGTACTCCTTGCTGTCAACTGGAAATTCATGGTCTTTGATATAGATTGGCCTTAGCAATAAATACGAATCTGGGTGATTCATCTCAGTTGCAAAAATACGTGTGGTTAAACCGCTTGAGGACCTGGCTTTGTCTAGCTGTCACAAAATTTCATATGTCTCCCCAGGCCAGAAGGGACAAATAAATACATGTATTTTCATCTTTTATTATTGGATTATACTGCAGTCAAGAAAACTTCTCATTGAACTAATTACATTAAAGAAATTATCATCAGACTGTATGTGCTTAAACCAAATCCTTAATTTGGAGGTATTTTTCCCCTCTCTGTGTTCTCTTCTTGGATCTAATAACTGGAGGCCCTTTATATTTTTTTATATGTGTTAAAGGCCTGAAAAATAATTGGATTTTTAAGCATGCAGTATGTGCATAGTTGTGATACAAGAAACGTCTGCCTTTCAGCGGATGATCTTGTAAGCAGTCAATTAGTTATTGGTTGTACAAAGGTTATTTTAACTTTAGGCTCTTAAACTTGTCTCTACTAGTCTCAGTCTCAGTCAGTTTTATTGCACATAGCCAAAGGCTGCCGCAATGTACACAGAATTATTTGACAGTTAAAAGTAAATATACTGAATTGGTAAAAAAAGGCTTAAAACAATTTATATTATTAAAACATTACATACTCTAAACAAAGCTATAAAAGTACCCCAATGTACAAATAAAAACATTAAACAATAAAATTCATAAGCTAAAATCATCACATGGTCACTAATGTTAAAAACAATATCAATTAATACAGTGTGCAATTTATACTCGGAGTTTGGTGACAAAGATAGAGCATAGCCTGAGGTAGATAGATAGGATCAAATAAATTCATCTCCTTTACAGTTAATGGCTACCTTGGCTATATAATTTGCTCTAATTTTCCTAGCAGCAGTTGCAAAAAGTGCTACCCGCCAGGTCACATACTTATCTGTGTCTGCAAGGAGATATAACATCATATCGAGGGGGTTCTGGCCAGGGGACCCTGTCATTATAGGTACCAAAAATCTTTTTCTTGCATCATTATATAACGGACAGTGCAAGATATAATGCATAAGGTCCTCTACTTCAGAACATCCCCTAATGCAAACACGTTCGTTTTTTGGTATGCCTCTATGTCTCCCATCTCTATAAGCAGAGCTTATTGTATTTAGTCGTAGCTCTGTAAAAGCTTTTCGAAGCTGTGCAAAAGTCAATTCATTAAAATAAGATATGTGTTCATTGACCTCTCTAAGTTTAAAATACAATGGGGCGCATGTAGATGTGCACATAGAGTTTAGATCGTTTTTAGTTGCCACTGCCCTTATGGTTCGTTTAAAAATATTTTTCTGTGAATATAAGGGGAGTTCTTTAATCTCAGTCACTGAGAGATCATATTTGCCCATCAGTTGGGCAGCATGATGTACCCAGTTTTTAAGGGGTAATCCATTTGAGAGCTCAATCAGGCATTTTTTTGGTAGCCTAGTGTTGTCCATCTGTTGAACTCTAAACCAGTAACAGAGAATTCTTTTATCTATTTGGCTCTCTATGCTCAACATGTGAGTTTCCAACCTGACCATGGCAGATTGCACGTCTTTGGGTAAACCTAAAAGAACTCTTAAAAAATAATTCTGTGGGGGTTCCAGACCGGAGACCTTTGAGGTACCCCAAACCTCTGCGCCATATAAAATCTGGGCCATTGTTTTTGCTTTATACACAGATAGAGCTGGGTTGACCAGATTTCCACCTTTACATGCAGCGAATTTCAGAATGGCTTTTGCTGATTTAAAGGCTTGCAATTTGATATTGGATAGCTGTGTATTCCAAGATGCCGTTTCTGAATAAATCAATCCCAGATATTTAAACGTATTTACTTGGTTTATGATGTGTTCATCCAGGTGCCAAACATGCTTTTTGGAACGCTTCCCAAATACAATGACCTGCGTCTTGTCATAGTTTATAGATAAAGCATTCCTCATGCAATATGAACTTAATTTTGCAAGCAGCCGTCTCAGGCCCACCTGGGTTCTAGATACAAGTACTAGGTCATCAGCATACATTAAAACTGAGAGTTTTTGGTCGAGAATTGTGACAGGGGCAAACTGTAGGCCCTCCAGTTCTTTAACCATGTCATTAATATAAAAATTGAACAGGAAAGGTGCCAAAATGCATCCCTGTTTGACTCCAGTGGTGGTCTTAATTCTAGTGGTGAGATGGCCAGCCAGATCCACCTTTACTTGTATTGATGTGTCAGTATATAATGTTTTGATGAGAAATAATAGACGGAGATCTATATTTGTCTTTTCCAATTTTTGCCACAAAGCGTGTCTTGGGACCGTATCAAAAGCTGACTTTAGATCGATAAAAGCAACATATAATTTTTGCTTCAAGTTATGGATGTATTTACATAGCAGAAAGTTCAGCACAAAGCACTGGTCCAATGTGGATTTCCCTCTTTGGAAACCTGCCTGGACTTCAGATATCACCTTATTTGTATCTGCCCATTCTTCTAGTCTCCCAAGAAGGAGCCTGGCATATAGTTTGGAGGCTACATCTAACAAACTAATGGGTCTATAATTCGCAGGGTTTTTCTTATCACCCTTTTTATATATTGGGGCAATTATGCTCAACTTCCACCCTTCAGGTATACGACCTGAGCTGTTAATGTATGAAAACAATTTTGCAAATATGGGTGACCAGAAATCAGGTCTTATTTTATAGATCTCCATTGGGATCATGTCTTCTCCTGGAGCTTTATTAGCTAGTTGGCTTGCGATTAGCCTCTTAATTTGATTGGGCGTGACGTCTGGCCATTCTGGCAGTTCTGATAACTGGGTATAGTAAACTTGTGGGGATAGGTCAGGGCAGGGGCCATATATTTCTGTAAAATATGTCACCCAATCCTTTCCTTGGACAGATGCTTCTAACGAGTAGCCCAGCGCATTTGTGCCTTGGGCAACCAGATGCCAAAATTTCCGTGAGTCCTTCTGAAGTGCTGCATCTCCCAATTCTTTCCACTGTTGTTCATAATATATTTGTTTCTTGCTTTTAAGTAATAATTTATAGTTGTTTCGTAACTGGGCTACCTCAGCTTGTAGGGCAAGATTGTGCTTATCCTGTTTTAACTTCAATTTTCTAAGTACCCTAGCTAGGTATTTTTTGCTATTCTGACATTCCTTATCAAACCAAGTCTGTCTCTTAAACTTTTTGTTTTTTATCACACTAGCTGTGGTCATCAGTGGGCGCATTTGGTTGATTATGTTCTCATAAAGTCCAATTACGTTTCCTGTTTCTAACAACATTTTCCCCTTTAATAAAGCAAATTCATGGGAATCCAGGATCTGAATCATTTTTTCTTGGACCTGTGCATTCCATTTTAACCTTCTATTTCCAAGTATCAGATATTCTGTTTCATCCAATAATTTAGGAAAGGCAGGAGAAAAGAATAATGTCAGAGATAACTCAAGTGGAAAGTGGTCACTTTCAGCTCTAGGAATTATCCTGAAGGTATCTCGGTTAACTGGCACATTATTAGATGTTAGGATATA